GCAAGCAAGGGTTGAGGAGACAGGGCTATTTAACAGCTGAAAGGCCAAGCATGGTGGGATATTGATTGTAGGTCCTCCTATGAGGCCAAGTGTAAAGTTGGTCTGGGCAACAGAAGAGAAAGCAGACAGATCTATACCTGCCGCTGGGGGACAGAATACACAAGGCAACCTACAGAGGCACCCTGAAAAGAACAGGGCCCAAGTTCTTGCACAACTTCAGTCCCAATTGGGCTTGTTCAGGGAACCTTCCCCACAGGCTGATTAGAGTGGGGTTGACATCTTGGCCTGCCCTATAGGGCCTAGTTCTGCTCTGGAGCTGAAATAAGCAGCTGCAAAGATCTGAAAATTGGCCAGGACCTAATATGCCACTATTGAGACTTTTGAAAGGTGACATTTGAAAGATTTAATGGGAGGTTTTAACTTTAAAACATGAGTTATTTAGATGGCTGACATCTCTTGACTTTCAACATTAAAACAACAACTATAGAGTACAGGATAGCTGACAGTTTTTGAGATGTTTTGCTTACCTGCCAACATGGAGAAATGAAAAACAGAGACCAGGAAGTGTAAACCATTCCATTTCCCAGAATAAAAATTCATGTTCAATAACTGAGTGACAAAACTGGAGAAGGTTGCCAAATGTCACATTTTTGCTGGGTTTTCTTGCAGCTTGACCACGTTCCTGATCTTCTCAGTGACCTGGCTCCTGCTTCTCTGCACCTCAAGCTGGTTTCTATGAAGCTTGTTCAGGAGAACTTCCTGAGGTGGCTGGTTGCCCATGTGATGGGTTGGGTCTGTTTGCCCTGCCCCCAATTCAGCAGCTCTTACGGGTGCCTCACCTCATGGCAAGCCCAGTACACAACTCAGTTGCATCCTCTTCACTTGGCACATGTCCCCCCCCACCTTTGCAGGGCCCACCTGCCTCCCTGCCGCATCCCAGTCAGAAGTGAGAAAGAAAACATACTTCTATCTCTGCCACCCCTGCAAAGAAACCCATTTTTTAAAAGAAAATGTTTGCATCCTCCCTAAATTGCCTGCTAGCAGCTGCCAACGCTGCCTCAGCCCACTCCAAATTCAGAGAGCGGGGGGGGGGGGGGAGGCGGCACCCACGTGCCCAGCTAAGTTTTCATCCCTCCTGACACCTCCACTCTCCCCCACCCCCACCCCCGGGGCATTTGGGCTCCTGGGAAAGTGACACCAGGCTAGATGGCAGCTGAGCCCAGCCCTTTTCTGGGCTTGAAGTCGCTTTTGGTAGGGGGGGGTCACACCTGTTTCCATGGGGTGCGTTTGCCGCCCCCCCCATGTCTGCCAAGGTAGATTGTGTTTTAAGCTGGGTGGGGTGATTCTCAGCATCTCTCTGCGCTCTAGGCCAGGGCTGCGCCTCTCTGTGCGCGCGTCCATCAGGGCGCAGGAGGGCTGGTTTTTTCGCTCCCCCGTTTTTGTACTCCGGGATGTGGGGTCGGGAGCCAGGAAGGGACTAGGATGGGTGGTGTGTTTTCCCCTCCCCTCCCCGAAACATGGAGGTTTCTGGACGAGGGAGGGTGGGAAAGAGGAAGCATCGGCAGGGATCGTAGAGAGGAGGGAGGAGGAGAAGGTGGGAGGGAGGGAGAGAGAGAGGGAAGGAGGAGGGCGTAATCTCCATGCACACACCAGGATGGGATTCCATCAGAAATCCAGGGCTTTCCTCAGCTGGGAATGGACCGCGGAGAAGAGAAGAGGGTGGAAGAGGCTGAGGCAGCCTTTGGGAAGCTCCCATCAAGTATTGGAGAGGCCAAAAAAGGAAACGGGGGAAAGACCCACAAGGGTGAGTCGGGGGCTTATCTGTCTGTCTTGTCTCTTTCTCGGTTTCGATCAGGGCGGAATCTCTGCTTGGAGCCTCCAGATTTCAAGGCAACCCCGATTTGTCTTCTCTTCCCCCCCGCCCCACGTTTCTGCTCTTGCGTGTTCCAGACTGGACAGGTCTCCAGCAGCTGTATTTCAGCTGCTCCGGAAAGATGGCATTATTGCTAAGGTGTGGCAGGGGGAGAGGAAAGAGGGCTGCTCTGAACTCCCACCCGCCCCCCACTCCGCTCCAATTATTTTTTTTAACACCTTCGTATTTCCCTCTGTTCCCATGGCTAAATCCTATCCCGTGTGTGTGTGTGTGTGTGTTGTGGTGTTGTGCTGCCGCTTTATTAATTCCCCCCACCTGACTTTCTTAGCCCCCACTCCCGGGGGGGGTTAATATTTCCTCCACCAGCTTTCCCAACTGAGAAGACGGAGAGGGATTGAAATGTAATTTCTGTAACCTGCTTCCCAACCATGAAATTGTGGGAGGTATATATGTATGCATTTTTGTATGAATTTAATTAGGAAGCAAGAATGTACTCCTATTCTTTCCATCTTTAAGAATGGTTTAAAGGTATTCCCAACATTTCCAATATCTTGATATGAGGTTCTTAATGTTTTTGGATTATTATTTTTTAAAATTACCTCCTGAATCTCTCTATCTAAAGAACGACCCTGGAGGCTTCTGTTGGGCCAAAAGGCCAGACAAAAACATTAAAAATGACAGCAGTGTTGTTCTGTTTTTTGTTTTTTTTAAAAAAGAAATGATTGGCTTCATGCTCCTTTGTGAACTTAACATTTTAAAATGTTTTATTTATTTTTATGTTTAAAATGCACTCTTCCTAAATCTACTTATCCATACAGTTTCCCAATGGAATCTCTGGATTGGGAGGGGGGATTACTAAGGAAAAACTGAGTAACAAAAAATACTCTTCTGAAAATCCAGCACTAGAGATGGCTTGATTTGTCTTGGGAAGATATTGATCTTCAGAAATGTTTGCATTCAAAGTTGCATCTTAAGTCACTTATAGAAAAGCCCTTATTAAAGCCTTAAGGGGACAGGGAGGCCATATGATATAAGGCAGAAAGAGCTGGTCTGGCTTCCTCCATCCAAACCTTTCACCTTCCATTTCCTATCACCGGAGCAAAAACATGCCTTCTTTCTGATCGGCAGTCAGTGTGCATGTGGGGAGGAGGGAGAGAGAGAGCGAGAGAAGTTAACTAAAGCTTATCCTTCTGCCTGGGGCTATATGGATCCAAGGCTGAGCGAACCCAGTTGCCAGATGGTTCCAGTATCTCCAATTCCCCCTGGATTGCATCTCACGTTGCCTGGTGCAAATGGCCCTCGTCAGATACCAGCACAACAGACTGGATGTTAGAGGTGTGATCTGGAGTCGTCCATCAATGGGATTCATTGCCAGAGCCTCTAGCCTTTCAACCAGGCTCTCAGCAATTATGACTGTGGGGTTTGGTTTGGTTTTCAAAGCGGAGTGGGCAGATGGGAGCTGGCCTTGGTGCTGGAATTCAGCAGCACTTGAGGGCTGTAGCAAGCATGCAGCGGAGTAGAAAATAGCTTGGCCTGAATTTAACATGGTCCAGTATTGCTAGGGCTGACCCTGCCATGCATCAGAGTGAAGCAACCCGCATCAGGGTGGGGAGGCTGGAGGCTTGAGTCTGAAAGTTGTAGCAAGACTTTTAAAAAGTGTTGGCCCCAGCAGGGAGGCACCATTTGGAGTCCAGTAAAGGATGTGGGTGGCGCTGTGGGTTAAACCACAGAGCCTAGGGCTTGTCGATCAGAAGGCCAGTGGTTCGAATCCCTGCCACGGGGTGAGCTCCTGTTGCTCGGTCCCTGCTCCTGCCAACCTAGCCATTCGAAAGCACATCAAAGTGCAAGTAGATAAATAAGTACCGCTCCGGCGGGAAGGTAAACGGCGTTTCCGTGCGCTGCTCTGGTTCTCCAGAAGCGGCTTAGTCATGTTGGCCACATGACCCGGAAGCTGTACTCCAGCTCCCTCAGCCAATAAAGCGAGATGAGCGCTGCAACCCCAGAGTCGGCCACGACTGGACCTAATGGTCAGGGGTCCCTTTACCTTTACAGGAAGCAAAAGCTCTTGGGCCAACACAGATCGCTTCAACAACCTAAGGAAACTTCAGCCAACAAGCAGAATATTATGAAGGTTTTGCTTTCAGGGTGCCTGGCAACAGAGGCTTGGAAAGTAGGTGGGCTGAAGTATGTGTTGGGGGGGGGGAGGAATAAACAACAAGAGGAAACTATTTACCTTTAGAGAAGCCACGAAACCCATCAGTCCTTATTCCCAAGCTTTTCCCACTCCCCATAAAACATAGACACCTTCCTTCCTCCCCACAGTTCCCTTTTTTTTGTCATCCAAGAAAAGAGAGACGGCCTGATGCATACAATCATTTTCGGAGATCTGGGTTCCAAACATTTATTTTGCCTCCATCTCTTCATCTGTTGAAGTGGTAGGAATTGTGGGCCATTTACCAGCTGACAGGTGAACATATGGCACACATAGTAATTTTAAGTCTGTAACATTGTACTGAGGGGCATTTTGCTACATATCTGCATCTGGTGAAATCTCATGAAGTAAAGGGAGTAGTAAAATTCTCTCCTCCAAATGACTGGTGTACCATACAGTTCTGTACATACTCTGGAAAGCCGTTGTTTTGTAATTGGTGTTCCGTGTTTGGCTAGTGACTGCCTTTGTTAGGGCACTAGATCTTAAAAGTGTGGGATAGGTCACACCATGGAGACTCAGTGGGGGTCCTCCCTTAAGTCTAAACCATTGTCTAGCACCGAACAAACCATTGCCTCTGTAAAGGTAAAGGTAAAGGGACCCCTGACCATGAGGTCCAGTCATGGCCAACTCTGGGGTTGTGGTGCTCATCTTGCTTTATTGGCCGAGGGAGCCGGCGTACAGCTTCCGGATCATGTGGCCAGCATGACTTCTGGCGAACCAGAGCAGCACACAGAAACGCTGTTTACCTTCCCACCGGAGCGGTACCTATTTATCTACTTGCAGTTTGACGTGCTTTCGAACTGCTACGTTGGCAGGAGCAGGGACCGAGCAACGGGAGCTCACCCCGTTGTGGGGATTCGAACCGCCGACCTTCTGATTGGCAAGTCCTAGGCTCTGTGGTTTAACCCACAGCGCCACCCATGTCCCAATTGCCTCTCTCAGCACCCTCCCCCAATTTTTAGTCCTACAAAGTGTTTGGTGCATAGTACATTGCCTCTATACTATGCACCAAACACTTTGTAGGACTAAAAACTGGAGGAGGGGCTGAGAAAGGCAAACCTCATGCTATTTCTCTTTCCCACCTCCACATGCTCCTGCTTTTTCCTTTTAGCCTTGGCCTGCATGTATCCAAGCCCAGATGACATTACAGTGGTACCTCGGGTTAAGAACTTAATTCGGACTTAACCATCCAGGGGTCCTTTACCTTTTTTTTAGATACAGGGCACAGGCCAAAACAATTCTGATAGCACCAGTATTTCCTAGCATGCACTGCCTGAGGTAACCTCACTTTACTTAAAGGTAGGGCTGGTGCTCCCATGTGTGTGTGTGTGTGTGTGCGCGCGCGCGCTTTGATGCCCGTCAGTTGAAAGCACAGCGTAAGGAATTCCTTTAAGAGGTCAAAGGTGACAGAAAGGCCACTTGGGGTGGAGCTCGAGCCATCTCTTGCCCCAGGCTTTGGAAGGCCCAGACTGTCTCAGTGTCATAGGGGGAACTCTAGTATATATTTGTTGTTGTTTAGTCGTTTAGTCGTGTCCGATTCTTCGTGAGCCCATGGACCAGAGCACGCCAGGCACTTCTGTCTTCCACTGCCTCCCACAGTTTGGTCAAACTCATGCTGGTAGCTTCGAGAACACTGTCCCACCATCTCGTCCTCTGTCATCCTCTTCTCCTTGTGCCCTCCATCTTTCCCAACATCAGGGTCTTTTCCAGGGAGTCTTCTCTTCTCATGAGGTGGCCAAAATATTGGAGCCTCAGCTTCAGGATCTGTCCTTCTAGTGAGCACTCAGGGCTGATTTCCTTAAGAATGGATAGGTTTGATCTTCTTGCAGTCCATGGGACTCTCAAGAGTTTCCTCCAGCACCACAATTCAAAAGCATCAATTCTTCGGCGATCAGCCTTCTTTATGGTCCAGCTCTCACTTCCATACATCACTACTGGGAAAACCATAGCTTTTACCATACGGACCTTTGTTGGCAAGGTGATGTCTCTACTTTTATATCAGTCTAAAAGAGACTTGCCTCCTGCACCTGGGCAAGGAAATGGGTCAAAGAGCCACTATACATTTTGGAGGTCTGAGCAAAAATGAGGAGAATGTGCTGAGAGAAAATAACATTACACCACAGCTTTGTAATGAGAGCCACTTTTGTCATTTGTGGGGATTGTGTGACTGGTACTGTACAAACATTAATATCCGCTCCATTCCTCTTGCCCTGAATAAATACGTTTCAGAGTATTTCCAGTTCTATGATCTGCTAAAAAGCCAAGAAGGAGGAAGGGGAGGCAGAGGGGATGGCCAGCTGTTTCTTTTCAGACCTGGAAAACTGGCGATAGTGCAGTCCTATACATAATCCTGCTCAGAAGTTAGTCTCATTGATTTTGACTGCGATTACTCCCATTTAAGTGGGTATAGGGCTGCACCATGAATGGGACAATTGGAGGGGGGGAGCAAACAATCTAGGCACAGATTTCTGCTTTAAAATTCCCTGTCCAAGCACATGTGTGTGTGTGTTTGGTTTTTGGTTTTGGTTTAGTTTTGGGCCCCTCACTTTCCCCACAAAATTCCACTCTTTACCAGTGAATCGGAGCAAACAGCAATCTACAGAAAACCCCAATTGCAATTTGTTCTGATTCAGCATTAAAGAGCAGGTTTTCCCAGCAAAACAACGAGGCAAAAAAGGGCACTCAAATACCAACCAGAAAAGCATGGAGTTGTGCCTAGGAAGCACAGGGCAAAAGGTCTGTGTGGATGAGCCCTAACTTCCAACAGACTACATGTGGGAAATGCAAGGAAGCCCAGGGCAAGGAGCTTGTGCAATCAGCTCGGAAAGCTGGTCTGAGAATGTTGCTGTAGCATTTGTTTATGCTGTCATTTTTAACTGTAAACTGCATTAGGTGGCTTGACAGAATATAAATGAAATAAATAGAATAATAGAGTTGGAAGGGACCCTGCGGATCATCTAGTCCAACCCCCTGCAGTGCAGGAATATGCAGCTGCCCCATATGGGGATCAAACCTGCAACCTTGGTATTATCAGAACCACAGCCTAACCAACTGAGCCATCCAGTGGGATAATAAATAAATGTGCCAGATACTCCAGCTTCACACCCCAAAGTCAACAAAAATGTGTGTGTCAGTCCATCAAGCCCAAATGGATGGAAAAACCAATGGATGAATGGGAAGTTGATAAAACTAGAATTAAGCGTTCATCCTTTCAGCTGTTATATATATAGCTATAAATGGGAATTAAGAAGGAAAGACAGGGCTCATTCACACTTCCGCTTTGCCCAACACTTTCCACTGGGGAAACCCAATGTTTATCACTGAATCAGAGCAAACATCAGTTGTGTTTTCTCTAGATGGCTGCTTGCTCCAATTAGTGCTAAAGAGTGGGTTTTCTGGGAGGAAGCAACTGGGCAAAGGCAAAACCTCTCAGATCCAAGCTGAAGTGTGGATAATAATAATAGTAATAATTATAAGAATAATAATTTATTATTTATACCACGCCTATCTGGCTGGGTTTCCCCAGCCACTCTGGGTGGCTCATATCAACATGCTAATATCACCTACACAGCAGGCAGGTGCCATTATTAGAACCATTAATAATAATAATAATAATAATAATAATAATTTATTCCCCGCCCATCTGGCTGGGTTTCCCCCAGCCACTCTGGGCAGCTCCCAAAAGAATATTAAAAACACAATAAAACATCAAACATTAAAAACTTCCCTAAACAGGGCTGCCTTCAGATGTCTTCTAAAAGTCAGATAGTTGTTTAATTCCTTGACATCTGATGGGAGGGTGTTCCACAGGGCGGGTGCCACTACCAAGAAGGCCCTCTGCCTGGTTCCCTGTAACCTCACAGTGAGGCAACTGCCAGAAGGCCCTCAGTGCTGGACTTCAGTGTCCGTGCTGAACGATGAGGGTGGAGATGCTCCTTCAGGTATACTGGGCCGAGGCTGTTTAGGACTTTAAAGGCCAGCACCAACACTTTGAATTGTGCTCGGAAATATACTGGGAGCCAATGTAGGTCTTTCAGGACTGGTGTTTTATGGTCTCAGTGGCCACTCCCAGTGACCAGTCTAGCTGCCCTCTGAGCATTTCTCAACAACTAGGCTAATGCTAGGAATACACATTAGGTCTGGAGATCCTGCTCTCCTTTCAGCAGCTTTACATCAGCAGAGAGAGAGGACCAGTTGTTGTGGAGAAGCAGCTGGCAGGAGGAACTTAACCCTGCCCCCACCTGCTGCTTTCCCCTTGCAGGCTCATCCATAACCAGCGACTAAGAGTAAGAGAAAGGGACAAGGTACAAGTGGTTGCAGTGAGTGGAGAAAGGACTAAGCCTCTTTCGTCTACAGTTGTGTTAAACCTCCCCTGCCACTTGGTAAGAACATGGGTCCCAACACTTGACCTGTGGCTGAACATGTAAAGTAAAGGTAAAGGGACTCCTGACCATTAGGTCCAGTCGCAGACGACTCTGGGGTCGTGGTGCTCATCTCGCTTTATTGGCCAAGGAAGCCGGCGTACAGCTTCCGGGTCATGTGGCCAGCATGACTAAGCCGCTTCTGGCGAACCAGAGCAGCGCACGGAAACGCCGTTTACCTTCCCGCCGGAGCGGTACCTATTTATCTACTTGCACTTTTATGTGCTTTCGAACTGCTAGGTTGGCAGGAGCAGGGACTGAGCAACGGGAGCTCACCCCATCGCGGGGATTCGAACAACCGACCTTCTGATCGGCAAGTCCTAGGCTCTGTGGTTTAACCCACAGCGCCACCCGTGTCCCAGCTGAACATGTAGTTATCTCATAATGCTGCAATCCTGTGCACTCACACTTGAGAATAAGTCCCACTGAAATGAGTGGGACTTACTCCTTGATACGTTGGTGCAACACAGGGCCAAAGCAACTGTGACTCAGGAAGTACCTGGTGCAGTGTCGGAGCTTGGAGTCTCAAATTTCAGCGGTGCCCTGTCTGACACCAAAATTTGGTGCTCCCTGCCTCTCGTGATGCATTCTAAATAATAGTTGCAGCATCCTCTACAGCAGGGGTGTCCAACTGGTCGAGTTTTCACTGTGAGGCAGATAGTTTTATTAGCGATTTTATTGGGGAGTGACTTTTCCCCTTTCCCCTTTCCTCAGTTTACCTGAACCCCCTAAAAAGGGACTTTCCCCCCTAAAAAAAGCTCAGCAACTTTGACCTGAACCCCAGCATCCCCAGGGCTCCGTGCCCAGCTGAACTGGTTGTGCTCCTCTAAATTCGCTTCTTCCTGGTGTGGCCTTCAGCAAGCCACAGTCTCTCAGTCTCAGCCCTCCATCTGCAATATGGGTAGTAGTGGGGGGTTTTTTCAGCTGGAGGATGCCAGAGTGCAGTTCTGGCACCTCTCAGGCGGACGCCATTGCGGGCCGGCGCTCCCCCTGCCCGCTTCTTACCTTGACATACTTCTGAGAAGCCCAAAACAAGCTTTCCAAGTCAATATGGAAGCTGGCCAGTCTTTTCAAGGCCAAATGAAAGCTGACCAGTGTGCACAAGTCTACAGTTCTTTTTGGCTCTGTGACTCCACTTAGCTCCTAGCCGCTCCTGCCCATAATTGGTCAAGCTATGGGGCAGGGCCAATTTCTATTTCCTTTTCTTCAATCTGTCTCTGTGCTGGTCCCGAGGGGGTTACCGTGTGGCATGGTCTGAGTCTGGTCCTGGGTCAAGGGTCTGGAGACTGTCCGTTAAGGGCGAAGCGGGATCCAAGGCAAGGAGCCGGGCGTGGTCAGGAACTCCGGAAGAGCAGGTCAGGGTGCTGGCAGGAACAGGTTTCCAACAATGTTGCTCCCGCAACCTGGGACTGGGCTGACTGGCCTTTATCTCCTCTGAGGCCTGGGGTGGTCCTGGCCCACAGGTTATTCGCCTCTCCTGGCCTTCAGCCAAGCACTCCTCCTGAGAGAACTTAGTTCCCTCCGCCTCTCTGCCCTGAGCCTCTGTAGCTCCAGAGAGGCTGGAGGGTTACTAGACCCAGAGGCAACCTCAGCTTCCCCTGACAGGGCTGGGAGAGGAGCACCTGCAGGCAATGGGTCCTCGATCACCTCTGG